AAAAAAAAAAAAAAAAAAAAAAAAACCCAACAGGGTAATACCTGAGTGTAAACTCCCAACAGGAGAATAAAGGCTACACTCGGGCTAAACCGGGGCTAATGGTCCAAACAAAAAACACAAAGACCACACCAACACAAACACAATGATCACACAACAAAGAAAAACATAAACATAAACAACAATAAGCGAAAACGGTGTCCTTTCCCTGCGAAACTAACTAGGCTCCACCAACAGTGAACGACCGACACAAAGAAGACCTCGAGCCAAAAAATTGCTACTGAAACTGTACGAACGCCTATACAGCAGGTGAACTCAACGCTCAAGATAATCCCGCATCGACCCATCTCTAACCGAGAGAAACCCAACCAGTCCCCACGCCAGCCCCACCGAACTCGTCTAACACCACTAGCCAAGCTCAATAGGACCCAATCTCCTGTCACCTAACACCACTAGCCGACCAAGGAACCGGAAGGTAGCGAGCTACGCGGTCCCAAACTCCGACTGCCCCATCGCAGACGACGAGGCTTTCAGAGCCCCGCCCCACCCTCGAAGACCCGCACACCCTCCTACAGGTGGTCATCGGCGACTAAATCCAAATCCACAGACAACTAGTCTTGAAAAAGTTGCATTTATATGTAACATGAGATGCATGAGGATTTTTTTAAGTAAAATGACTTAAACTAAAATGATGACATTTTAGACCTTTTCTAATAATAAATTATATTTTAAAATAGCTTGTTTATAACTTATTGCAGAAAAGTGAAGGAGAAGGGATTGTAAAAAGTTTTGAAGATTTTTTTTTTGAATAATAATAAAAATGAGAAACCAAATAACAAAACCTAATGCAATGTTTCATTTTTTTTAGCATTGAATTGAATAGAGAACCATCGTGACCCCATTTATAAGTACTTGTTTATTGATTTAATTGATAATATAAGTACTTTATTTAATATTGCTGAAAATTTCATGAACTATTTTTGTGCTTATATAAATTAAGCCTTCAAGATTTCGCTGCTTCAACTTGATATAGCACCCTTAAAAGTTCGGTGAACTGGTCTGAGTGATTAGGTTGAGATTGGCTGGTTCAATACAGTTTTTGCTCACTATTGAGGCTCGACTACGTCAGGGAGTTCGGTCTAGTAGCTCAAGGTAGGAGTAGACTTAAACAAGGAAGTTAGCAACCGAGCTCTTTAGAGAGTTCAGCCGGATGAAGGGTCATTACGACCTAAAGGTCGTACAACGGAGGTCGTTTTAGCGAGGCCAATTTGGTGACCTAAGGACCTAAGAGCCATGAAAGGAAAGGAACAGAATCCTATTAAGGATTGTAAGTGTATCTTTCTAAGGAAAAATGGATCTTGGAGACGTGCCTCACTATATGGAAAGATCCCTTTCCATCTGGTAAAAGAACACGGGTAAGAAGGTAAACTCCTTATAAAGGGAAGTTACCAGGTTTCTTTATGATTTAATGCATATTACGCTTAAGCGCGGTTTTACTAAATCCATGAGCGAGATATAACTTGATCGTTGGATTTTTTTCGCCGGGAACTCTCCCTGGCGTGTTTTGTAAGTCACCGGAGCCCAAAGCAAAAATGGTTCATGGTGTTGTCGATTTGAATCCGATTTAAAAGCAATTAGCGTATCAATTTGGCGTCGTCTGTGGAGAAAATTTAGTAGTTTACTGGCTACAAGGGACTTGGTTTTCTCATAAATTACAGAATACCTCAAAGAAATGAGTCTAGCTTGAGAAGAAGAGGTGGTTTCGCTGGAAGACGACATCTAGACCGAAAATTTTTAGAGGAGCAGAGCGAAAGATCTCTGAAAAAAGCCCCAAAAAGTTAAAATTTTGTGGCTTTTGTGTCTTATTGCCATTTTCGGTCACCGCCAGCCTCATAAACTAATACGTGGATTTTGTGTCTTATTGCCACATTTTGTCGGTGGTGACTGAAAATGGCAAAGTGTATAAAAATTCAAAGTTTGGTAGACAAAGTGTAAAAATAAAAGTTTTGTAGGTAAAGTGTTAATTTCTGGATAGTTAGGTAGGCAAAGTGTATTTATTCCTTATATTATTTATATACTACTTCAATGCAAATTTACCAAATTAGCGATTTAGAAACATGAAATACGTCAACTACTACTAATATATTCAATATATATGTACGTTTACATTAAATATGATAATTTCGTTTGTATAGCCATGGATATCGGGACACGCAATACGCCTCAAATATCTCAATGGATTGTGATCTCGATATACACGAAAAAGAACTAACTCCCTTTATCTACATACTGGTCCATAACCAGGAAATAAAATAAAAAAAGGTACCTCCACCTTCAAAAACCTTCATATTGACGAAAGTGAACGTCATAATCTTAGCATAGGTGAAACCATTACCAATTGTGGCCGGAGGTTGCAAGAAACGTATGCTATGAAGAGGTATTTATTGTTGTTTTTAATTCATATTAATTGTTTGTGTAATGAGATTTATATTGTCGTAAAAAAACTCGCCATCTTACAATGATATAAAATTCGAACATGTAGGCTACACCTGCTAGTAGTTCTAAAAGAAGAAAGAAAGAAGTGCTGAAATTACTAGGTTATTCAATGGATGACACAACCGTATTGCATAGAAAAAAATTGAGAAAACTGTTTGATACACATTAATTTTGAAACTGAGAGGGGAGAAGTTAATTGATATCGGCTCCAAACGAGTAAGCTTGTTCGTAAATGTATTGCTTATTTGTTATTTGATACGAAAATATATTAATTTGTGTTTATATTCTTGTTACGAAAAGTTATTGAATATAAACCTCTAAATTAGTGTGTTTATCGAATCACTTAACCGAGCAATAAATAATTTGGACTTATCATTAGGATTTAAAACAATTATTTCCCAATTCCCTAACACTTTTATCATCTTTATATTCTTATTGTCTTTAGATTTTTATAATTATTGAATTTATTTAATTATAATTTTATGTTTATTAGTTAAAAATTAATAAAATTAGTAGATAGTAAAATTCCACACTAAAATTTATTAGAATGTTTAGGATATCATTTTATAATTTTTTTTGTAATCGAATAAACGCACAATTTAATCCGGCTAAACTTTCCTTGAGATATGACCCGGGGAACGAATCTTTGATTCGGTGCTCGGAAAATTAAAAATAAAATTTGCAACAACAAATTTGGCGCCGTTGCCGGGGAAGGCAAGTAGGATATTTTGTGTTGGTGTTTGATTTTATTTTCTGTATTTCTCTTTATTTTGTGTTTTCGTGTTCGTGTTCTTTGCCCGCATCTTTGTTTTTGTCTTTGTTTTCGTTTGTCCCTTTTTTTTCTTTGTTTTCGTGGCTTCGCGTAGTTGTTCTGTTCTTGTGTGCAGGTACTTTGAACAGAAGAATCAGTGAACCAGAGCAACATGTTCCCCTCCTCGCAGACCCTTTATTGGAATAATGGGGCGAGCTACGGTTCATGGGAGTTGTTATCATCCGACTCGGTAAAGCGCAATTAAGGGCCTTGAACAGCATCTTATGCAAATTTAACTTCAACACCGACGTGACCCAAAGTCACCCCGACTCGTACGACAAACCGGTATGACCACAAAAGACCGATGTGATCATTACTCGCCGAGGTCATCCCAACCCGAGGTCAGCACGAACCGAGGTCGTCACCTCCTAAGCAGGTGACAAGGCGCCTACACGCCCCTCTCACGATCCACAAGATCTGCTATCATTCACATGGGGCCCACTAAGTCTACCGCCCATCAAAAAGTAGTTTTATTGAAAAAGTAACGCACAGATCCCGATATATGTACCAAAAAAAGTTACTATAAATAGTGAACTAATACTACTTGTACGGGATTCGAATCTTTCTTCCCGAACCGAACTCTTTTATGATGAAACACGAAACAGCTCTCAGAAGCTCTTCACCTCGGTTCACCTCGGACCGGGGCCATTGTTGAGTATTTTATCCATACTTTACGTTCGAATCAGTCATAATCATTAAATAAATACAGAATTAAATCGTTGTTAGGAATCACATAACAACAGTTTGGCGCTAGGAGGAGGGCCTCATAAGTGATTTGAGGTTAATCTCCGATTCCTGCTCCGTTCGTTACATCACCGGCAGCCATGTCACATTCAGATCATCGTGGTCATACATCGCGAGATGACCACAGTCGCAGCGCCGCTCAGTCTGCCAGACGCCAGACAACAGCTCTCAATATCCCAGATTATACTGTTATGTTCAAAAATTCGGAGTTTGCACGTGGGTTCGCTGCTTTAATGGCTCAAACCATCCCTGGAACATCAACGACTGCTCCAGGATGATCTATAATACCAACAACCCCTGCTAATCCGCAGATTCCATCGGTGCGACAAGACGGTGGTAGAACCACTTCCCATGCCACGTCTCAACCTCGCAGTCGAACGTCGCAGCCGCACCCAGAACAAACCACACGTCACGCTGATGTTGGGCGAAATCCCTTAGCAATTCCTCGTGAAGAAACCGCCGAGAGTCAATCTGGACACTCACGGCATTCGCCGCCTCATACGCGACGCCGAATCCCCTCTAACCCGGCGCAAACCGACCTTCGTCAGCATATCGAGAGAAATCGAGCTCGCCAAGAATCATCCGAACTTGAAACATTGCGACGAAGAATCGTCGAGTTGGAAAGTCGGCAAAGGATGCCCGAAGACCCCCCTCGGCGGACCTCGACCTCGGCACAAGTATACCTGGAAGCCGACTCCCCCCTCAAGCCAGAACTCACTTTGGAACCTGTACCCGGAAAAGTTAAAGTTCCTCAAATCGGATTATATGATGGGACTTCGGACCTCGACTCACACCTCGGTCACTACACTTCGTGGATGGATCTGCATGGGGCCTCAGACGCACTTCGGTGTCGCATGTTTTCCCTTACGCTGGGACCTCGGGCTTAAAAATGGTACCACTCTTCCTCCTCATTCTATTTGGAAGTGGCAACAGTTGAGGTCGGCTTTCCGATCTCACTTCATCGGGGCCCAAGTATGTTTGATTCCGAAAGAATCCCTTTCAAACGTAACTCAAAAGATGATGAAAGTGTCAAGGACTATATTGCTCGATTCAACGACCGAGTTCAGAATATGGAGCCATGTCATCCCGAAACCTTGCTTGTTATGGCTATTGTCGGGTTGAAACCGAACTTCACCTTCCGCTAGACATTGTGTCAGAATAAGCCAAACACCTTCCAGGAATTTCTTGCCCGAGCTCAACAGCACATTATTGCCGAGGAAGCCATGTCGGTCCCTGATTTTAATTTCAATCCGAAGTCATCTAAGTCGGGAACCGACGAGAAAAAGAAAAACAAATTGTTCGACAAACAAAACAAGGCTCAATTTAGAGGATACCCCCGAGGAGATGCCAATGACCCTGAAATTAGAGCAGCTCGGAAACAATACGCAACCGATGTAAAATCCAGTTATCAAACCGTGTATTCAGCTGAAGCTGCCACCATATACGAAGAAATCAAAGGGAAAGGCATCCTACCTGATCCCAAACCACTTCGGATGCCCGAGGAAAAATTGGACAAATCCCGATATTGCGATTATCACAAATCACCGGGACATAACACTGATGAGTGTTTGAGTCTGTTAGCCGCCTTGTTGCGTTTAATTGGTCATCCTCAACTCAGGAAGTTTTACCGCAACACAGATCCTCAGAAACGCGGGCCAGGACGTCAAATCGAACCTTATGATGAAGACGAAGAGGAGGACCGAGGTGCCATGCCGAAACGTATTCGGCAAGGAGACAAGAAAGTATTCGTGTTCACCTCGAAAACACCTAATTCTGATTCAATTGGAACCTCCCGGGGGCGCAAGCGGAGCCGATCTCCTAGCCCGATGCAAATCACTGTCCATCGTGTAAACACCAATAACACCCGGAATACCTTATCCCGTCGACAAATCAAGGCCCGACAAGCTTACAACTCAGGCAAGCAAGTGTACACCACCGATCTGAGAGACATCCTCAATAACCGTAATTGTCCCATAACTTTCAATATGGAGGATGCAAATCATTTGGCACACCCTCACTCTGACGCCCTTGTAATTACCGTCCCTATATGTGGAATCCCAGTGCACCGTGTTATGGTGGACACTGGGGCATATTCGAGCATTTTGATGTTAAAGGCTTTTGATAAGATGGGTCTTGATCCGGCGGACATTCGACCTTGTAATGATCAGATACAAGGGTTTAACGGAAGTATTTCGAAGCCCATCGGTGAAATCACATTGCCTGTCCGATTTGGCACTTCCGACGATGTCACCAAACTTGTCATGGAAACTTTCAAAATTCTTGACATTAACGAGTATAACGCGATCATCAGAAGGACTGCTTTGTATAAACTCCGAGCCGCAGTTTTAATCTTTCACTACGCATTGAAATTTCCGACGACACGAGGCGAAGGGACACATTTCGGAGATCAAAGAGAAACTCGAGAACTTATAACTTTCATACCGTCCTCCGGAGTCTATTCCATCACTCCGGTCAATGAAGAAAATTCGCTACCACAAAACACCCCGGATAACACGGTTCCCGAGAAATCGAACAACGACGCCGTTGTTTCTCCCACCTCGGATCCTTTATCTGAAGACTGAGGTAGACGACCTGGAAAGGAGCCACTCCTAGAAGAGGACGAGTTAGACCCAAGGACTCAATTCAAAAAAAAAAAGCCGAAGTGATCGAGCCGAGCCCGGGGAAGAAGTGGAATTGATCTATATCGACGAACCAATCTTTCAAAAATTGTTGCGCATCGGAAGTCATCTTCAAGAACCTCTCCGGTCAGAACTCATCTTATTTCTCAAAAATAATTTTGATGTTTTTGCTTGGAAACATGAAGACATGAAGGGCATCAACCCCGGTGTCGCTAACCATAAGTTGAATCTTGATCGAACTGTCTGACCGATTGTTCAAAAATGAAGAAAATTGGGACCGGATCGTCAGAAGGCACTGGAAGAGGAAGTCAAGAAACTCATCGACAACAAGTTCATTAAAGAAGCCAAGTACCCAACATGGGTCTCAAACCCCGTCCTCGTCAAGAAAAGCAACGGCCTTTGGAGGTTGTGTATCGACTTTTCCGACTTGAACAAGGCGTGCCCGAAAGACAGTTACCCGCTCCCGCACATAGATTATATGGTTGATGCCACATCGGGACACGAGTTGATGAGCTTTATGGATGCCTACTCCGGTTATAACCAAATTCCTATGGTCCCCGAAGATTCAGAACACACCTCATTTTATTCGGCACGGGGTCTGTATTGTTATACCATGATGCCATTTGGATTAAAAAATGATGAGGCCACTTACCAGCGTCTTGTCAACAAGATGTTTGCCAATTTGATAGGTCATACCATGGAAGTCTACGTAGACGACATGCTCGTCAAGTCGGTGAACGCACCTGATCATATAACACACCTTCAGGACATGTTCAATATCCTCCGATCTTATTCCATGGTTTTAAATCCCAATAAGTGCACCTTCGGAGTTGAGTCTGGAAAATTTCTAGGCTATATGGTCAGCCAACGGGGAATTGAAGCCAACCCGGTCAAGATAAAAGTCATTCAAGATCTAACTCCCTCGACCTCGGTCAAGGGTGTTCAAGCCCCAACTGGCCGACTTGCAGCTCTTAATCGATTCATCTCCAAGTCTACAGATCACTGCAAACCGTTTTTTGAAGCCATCAAAAAAGGGAAGCGTTTTGAGTGGACCGAAGAGTGTCAAAAAGCACTCACCAGCATTAAAGAAACTCTTGCCTCCCCTCCGACGTTACAGAAACCGAAACCCGAGGAGATGCTGTTCCTGTACCTCGGAGTCAGTGATTCAGCAATTAGCGCCATCTTAATACGTGAAGAGGGGACGTTACAGTCACCCATTTATTATGTCAGCAAGGCCTTACATGATGCTGAACTACGCTATCCCCCTATGGAGAGCTAGCGTTTGCACTCATTACTGCTGCTCGAAAATTGCGACCTTATTTCCAAGAACATTCCATAACTGTTCGCACTTCATATCCGCTACGACAAGTCCTGCACCGGCCTGACACTTTGGGACGCATGATAAAATGGGCAGTTGAACTCGGATAATTCGATATCCATTACCAACCGAGGACCGCCATCAAGGCACAAGCCCTGTCCGACTTCGTCGCCCAATTCACCCCGGCTGTAGAGGTTCATGCTGATAACCACCCGTGGGTTCTTTACATCGACAACTCTTCAACAGCAAACCGAGCAGGGGCGGGAATAGTTTTGGCAAATCCGAAAAACCGATTATTCTGTCATTCGGTAAAATTTCTCTTCTCTGCAACCAACAATGAAGCCGAATATGAAGCTTTACTATCCGAATTGAATCTGGCTGAATCCATGAACGTGAAATACCTCAAAGTCTTTTCAGACTCCCAACTTCTTGTCAACCAGATCAATGGATCGTATGAAGTCAAAGAACCTCGGTTAACACCGTATTTGTCCTTGGCAAAAAAGAAGTTATCAAAATTCTCCGTCGATGTTGAACACATTCCTCGAACTCTTAACGTTCAAGCAGACGCCCTGTCCCGATTAGCCTCGAGTACCGATATGGAGAGCATGGAGTATGTCCAAGTCGGACAACAAGAACAACCGTCGACCTTCCTTTCTGAAGTCGCGGTCATTGATCCGGTGACGTCACAACAACCTCAGACTTGGATGGATCCCATTATTCGATATTTAGAAACTGGGGCCTTACCGTCGGACCCTAAAGAAGCTCGGGCACTTCAGATTCGAGCAGCCCGGTACACTCTGGACAACGGAACATTATTCAAACGAGGGTATTCGGCCCTACTCCTAAAATGTTTAACCAACTCTGAGTCGCGATATGTTCTCGAAGAAGTGCACGAAGGAATATGCGGAAGTCACCCCGGTGCACAAGCCTTATCCTACAAGATTTTGCGGCAAGAATACTATTGGCCTACTCTAAAAACCGATGTCGCCGCATGGGTCTGGAAATGTCCGAAGTGCCAACTCTTTGCACCCAACATTCATCAATCCCCTGAAGAGCTTAAATCAATTTACAGTCCGTGGCCTTTCGCCAAATGGGGGATCGACCTTATAGGTCCCCTACCGACCGGGAAAGGATGCGTCCAATTTGCCATTGTAGCAGTTGATTACTTCACTAAATGGGCTGAAGCCGAACCATTAGCTACGATAACTGAACAGAAAGTTGTCGACTTTGTATGGAAGTCCATCATTTGCCGCTTCGGAGTACCGAACTCAATCATCACCGACAACGGTCGACAATTCGAAGGCAAATGACTTGAGTCCCTTTGTGAAGAATTTAATATCAAACACCTTTTCTCTTCGCCCTACCACCCGCAATCTAACGGTCAAGTGGAAGCTGTTAATAAACTCATAAAGAATGCTCAAGACCCGACTTGATGCTGCCAAAGGGGCCTGGCCCGAAGAATTGCCGCACGTCCTGTGGGCCTATCGTACAACTACCCGAACTTCCACCGGCGAGACTCCATTCTCACTCACTTACGGATCAGAAGCCGTGGTCCCGGTCGAGCTCGGTGAACCGACTTACCGAATTTAACATTTCACCAAAGAGACCAACTCGGATAACATGAAAATTAATCTAGACTTGCTTGAAGAACATCGTACCCGTGCCAAACTTAAAAATGCCGCTTACAAACATAGGAGCGAGAGGTACGTCAACTCTAAATTTAAGCCTCGTTCATTCTGGGTTGGCGATATAGTCCTCAAACGTGTAATGGGGCTTGACCCCGGTCCATTGAAACCGAAGTGGGAAGGACCTTTCCAGATCATTGAAGTCCTACCCCATGGGGGCCTATCGAATAGCTCATCCTGATGGAACTCCACATCAATATCCTTGAAATGTCATTTTCCTAAAGAAGTTCTATCAATGAATGGTCCGAAGTCGGATAGCCGATTCTCCTTTTGAACGGACCTTCCTTTTGCTTCACCGAGGATACGAAGTTACTTTTTAGATGTAATTAAAGTTCAAAGACTTTCACTTTTAAAATCCGAGCAATAGCTCGGTACCGATGTAAACTTTGAAACTCAGTTTATTAATATTTTATACCGATGTACGACACTCGGTCTTACTGATACCCCCATAATCTATCCAAACCCTACGCATGCTTTGGTTGGGGTTGAAGTTCGTCCGCGTCACTTCAGCAAACATGATTTGACGGACCCCGATAATCACCGAACATAAAATAAACAAATCGGTTGGGGCCATTCCATAATCGAACTCTGACGAAGTTCGGTGAACTATATTTGTTTTACATATGGCCCGAAATGTGTTAAGTTTTGCGAATTCTTAATAAGTTTGCATACCGACTTACTCTAGTGGCCGAATTTATTGAAAGAGATCAAAGTGGAACTCGAAAATTATCTTTTACAAAAAACCACAACTCGGTTAATAACATAAATAAATCCGAGTTGGGGCATCTCGTTATAAATTCGCACCGAGTTCAGTACACTTGGTCTACCAATCGCTGAGATCTGTACAACAAACATCAATCAAGATTGAAAATTATGCAAACACATCACATTCATAATAAAAAGTCGGGAACTTCCTTACATATGTCCTACTAAGGGAGTCAACAACCCGACGTCCCCGATTACATACGTAAAAATGTGAAATCCTACTAAGGATGCCAACATACTAGCACCCCGACTATATACTTCAAACATGTAAAAATAAAAACATCCAAAACTTCAAGCATCCTCCCTTGTTTCCTCGGCATCATGATCAACACCGCTGCCTTCTCTGGTCTCCATCCCGGCAGACAGTTGTTCCAAGACAGCTACTGTTCGTTCCATTTTTGTCAGTGTTTTCGTGTTTATTTTACGTTTATTTTTCCCAC